GCACATGGCATCCTGAAACTTCTTACTGAATAAAATCATCTGTCCAGAACTTAATCAACAAAAAAGTTAATGCATTTAAGACTGCTTAAAAAGTTAAGATCAATCAATCAAGAGTGCACCTCTGAGTTCACATGGTCATTAGTGATTCTATTGAAGATCTAAGCTATTGCAACAAAGAAGTAGAGAGAGTGTTTATAAATTCTGGCAGAAGGAAGCAGATGTGATTTTTGTATGTTATAAATAGCTGGATTCACTTGATGGGCCACAGGTAAACCAGTAAATACTATTTGAATGAAAAGCATTGACTCTGCCCACACTCATCATTTTGGTACTTAACTCTGAAAGAGAAATTTCTGTTATGAAATAGTCAGGAGTTATGGTGTGAATTTAATTCTTGACAGTACTCAAATCTACCATGCTGCACAGGAGTCAAAATATCATAAAATGATAAAATGTCATCAACAACCCAAAGGATTCCCCATGCAGATTATCCAACTGCAAGAAGTACATGTAAGAGCATAACTGTGGTGACGTAGATAGTGTCCAGATGCTGGTTTGTCTATTATTACTTTTATGTCTATAGTCTCCGCTATGGATCAAAAGGCCTGTTCCATAGAAGTGGATTGGCAGCTAAGAAAGGTGAAACAAGCCCAACACCTGTTATGAAATGGGGCTGCAAGCAGATAAAGCCACACTGACTCTTAGTCATTCTCTGTCAGAAAGAGAGGAGTCTGAGTAGGGAAAGAGGGTAAAGACAGAAGAATTAATAATAACATCGTATTTGCCTACTGTGAAAAGGGAAAAGTAGGAGCAGCAGAGTTTTCCCAAAAATACCCCAAAAAGTTGACGCCTTTGATAGAATTATTTTCAGGATTTAAATTCATAGACTTGATTAATTTTAAACATTTCACATGCTATTCAACAGCAAGCTGCATGTTCAAAAAATTCTAGTTTAAAATTTGTTCTTTACCTAATCTCTTAGATGACCTAAAATAATTACACATAAAAAACAAATGAGTGTAGCACTAGAGAAAGATCCTCTGAGGAGGGGATGACATGAAAGGGAGGCTTGACATAGACTCAGGACCTTGGCAGGTGGGAGATGTCCCTGGTTCTAGGCAGAGCTGGCAAACTGGTGTGTGCTCTGCAGAAGTGACACTCATATGGAAGCTCTGCTTTTGGCCCATTGCAGGCAGAATAAAGTGGATAACCTCTGCTGAATCAATGCTTGGCTCTGTACAACCATGCAGTGTCCCTGCAAAGGTGACTGTGATAAAAACACTGTGAGGCAGCTCTAAATGGAGCCTGATGAACATGGTAGGGCTGTACAAGTACAACTAGGGCAAGGGTAGCGTTACTAAGAGGCTGAATAAAATTCAGCAAAACATTATTAATTTTTTCAAGCAGTTCTCATGTCAGAAAATGAGGAACCCCCTGTGTTACGGACAGTGCTGTGACTGGCCTCAGTTCTCTGCTGAGACTTAGAAGAACATAAAACCCAGCAGCAGCAAAACAGTGACTATCCAGTGGGCAGATGCCATGGGATCTGCAACTGTAGGCTGCAAGTCGATATATATCAAGCACTGGTACTGTATGGATTATTTACATGATGATACTGTGAAGAGAAATTTATGGTGGAAGTTTAAAGCACATTTAAATTCCCATGTGGACATCTCTTCATATTCAATATTTGAAAGTGGGGCACAATATGAGACAGGAAGAAATAAGACTCTGTTTCTTCAAGTGTTAAATTCTGCTCAGAGAAGCCATGCTATAATTGATTCTATTCTGAGTCAAACAGAGTTTAGGAGAGAGGCAGTTTAATAAAATCTTAGTTAGTTCTATTTCAGAAGTCTATGCCTAGGAAAAAACAAAACCAAACCAAACCCCAACATCATGTAAAAAATAACATAAGACTTGCATAAAAATTCCTAGTCTGAAGTAGATGTTTTGTCTCTATATTGAAGAGACATCAATTTGATAGATGAACTACTCAATGGATAAAAAACTGGCTGGATGGCCACACGCAAAGAGTTGTGGTCAATGGCTCAATGTCCAGCTGGAGACCAGTAACGACTGGTGTTCCTCAGGGATTGGTGTTGGGAACAGTCTTGTTTAACATCTTCGTTGCCGGCATGGACAGTGGGATTGAGTGCGCCCTCAGCAAGTTTGCCGATGACACCAAGCTGTGTGGTTCGGTTGATGCGCTGGAGGGAAGGAATGCCATCCAGAGGGACCTTGACACGCTTGTGAGGTGGGCTGATGCCAACCTCATGAAGTTTAACCATGGCATGTGTAAGGTCCTACACCTGGGTTGGAGCAATCCCAGACACAGCTACAGGCTGGGCAGAGAAGAGATTCAGAGCAGCCCTGTGGAGAAGGACTTGGGGGTGCTGGTCGATGAGAAAATGAACATGAGCCGGCAGTGTGTGCTCACTGCCCAGAAAGCCAACCATTTCCTGGGCTGCATCAAAAGGAGCGTGACCAGCAGGTCGAAGGAGGTGATCCTGCCCCTTTATTCTGCTCTCATGAGACCTCACCTGGAGTACTGTGTGCAGTTCTGGTGTCCTCAACATAAAAAGGACATGGATCTGTTGGAACAAGTCCAGAGGAGGGCCACGAGGATGATCAGGGGACTGGAGCACCTCCCATATGAAGATCGGCTGAGAAAGTTGGGGCTGTTCATCCTGGAGAAGAGAAGGCTGCATGGAGACCTCAGAGCAGCCTTCCAGTATCTGAAGGGGGCCTATAGAGATGATGGGGAGGGATTCCTCATTAGGGACTGTAGTGATAGGACAAGGGGTAATGGGTTAAAACTTAAACAGGGGGAGTTTAAACTGGATATGAGGAGGAAGTTCTATACTGTGAGGATGGTGAGGTACTGGAATGGGTTGCCCAAGGAAGTTGTGACTACTCCATCCCTGATGGATTCAAGGCCAGGGTGGACAGATCCTTGGGTGGCGTGGTTTAGTGCGAACTGTCCCTGCCCATGGCAGGGGGGTTGGAACTTCATGGTCTTAAGGTCCTTTCCAACCATAACTATTCTATGATTCTGTGTTAAAATTATGTTCTTTCGCTCATGAGTTAGGGACATACATTGCAATATCGTGCTATTCAGATGCTATATATTCTCTGAAAAGTAAGTATAACACATTTCTGTCAAAAGTACCTCTACAAGCAAAGACAGTTCATTTCCTGAAGGAAGAGTTCTCTCAGTATCTTGCCCATATACTCTGCTAAGGTTAAAAAAAAAAAAAAAACCACTGCATTTTTATCTTTTTTATTCTTCTGTCTTTCATTCTTCTTTTATATTGTTCTTGCCATTTTCTGAACGTAAATTTCTAGATCAGTGAAGAGATCCTTGACCCTCCACTAATAATTAGCATTTTGAGACAGACTGAAGTCAAAGACCTGTAGATTAAAAGCATTATAGCCTGTTACCAGTCTACCAGGATAGTTTGCCCTAATGTTGTGTCATTTAGAAAAGAGGTCCTCTAGTTTGTGATCTTCTACATTAATTGTTTAAAAAGGAATTAATCCTAAAATAATTCATGCCAGTTTATATTGTTATCATCTATCTGCAGGTTTTTGTTCATTCCAGCTGTAAATGTAATGGAATTCTCTCTTTTCTGTCCTTCATGGTTCAATCTCTGTAATTGTAATTCACGGTCAAGATATCTGTCAATTCATCGCTCCTTTTGCTGGTCGGTAGTTCATACAACAATGAAAACTATCTGCCAAGAAGCACCTGTCTTTTTAATAATTCAAGATATTAAATAAATAAAATGGAGTATGTACCTGCTGCCTTATTTTCTTTAAACTCACTCATCCCTCTCATACACATTTCATGACAAAAGCTGTAGGTTAAGAGATGCTGATTTGTCATCAGCACGTACAGTGAAGTTGCAATAAGGAAAAACTTCGCTTTTCTGACTGTTTCCCTACAAAGAGGGATAACAATTTCAAGCCACTGTCAATATGAGTGTGACAGTTGTTTAAGTTAGCCAAGACGCATGCATGAAGTGAACGTATTTATACTGTCTGTGCTTTTAAACAGTTACAGTGAAATTGAAATACCTTCATAGGGAATTAAGTTCAACACAGTATTTTTTAGAATATCAATTATTTTGATTTTTTTTATTTAATAAAAAACTTTACTCCCTGTGTTATTTCTATTGGTTTATTTCTTTAACTTTTCAATTGGGATAGCTTAATATGTAAAGTTCAGACAACGTTAAGCACAACAAAGTTAGGAATTTGACTGTTACATCCATGATGATGTAACTGTTCTGCTTATGGTATCCGTCACAGAAGTACTGTGATTACTCACAATGTACCTACAAAGTGTAGTTTTGAACAGAAATCTACTTTTTGCTATTTCACAGGTTGGGAACTGACCCACAGGGACCAAATCCAGATCCTCAATCGCTGCTTAAAGATCTTCATACCACCAAGTTGATTGCAATGTTGTGTGGCTGCTTTGAGCATCTGACCTGGCAGAACTGTCCAGTGCCAAAGATGGAGTGTTTAGTGGAAAAAGGATCATGAATATGAACCTTTTATGCTTTAGGCACTAAGCATGAAGATGTCTTTCCATTTCATTTTTTAATATCCACTTTGAATTTTGTTTTTCAATCAGCATATATTTGAATAATCAAACATTTATTTTTATCAAGAGAGAGTCTGAAATGTGAGAATTCACTGTTCTGTACTTTTCCCTCAAGCAATCTGTGGAAAGAAAAAATCTGTATTTCACAGATAACATGGCCATTAGCAGCTTAGTCTGCTGCTTCTGACCAGCAGTATTATGTCACACATAGTTTTGATATCAGAATTGAAAGCAGCAGGTATTCATTTTTCCCTTACTATTTCAGACATATTGTATCTTGTTAGATAATATATGTTGCAATTTACCAAAAAACATGAACATTTTGATAACTGAAGAATGGTTATTAAAAATCCCTCGAACAAACAATTAATAATGTAGGTAAGAGCCAGACCTGGTGTGCATGGGGGAGCAGGGAGGTGTTATCTTCCTTGTGTACAGCCTCTTCCAGCCTGAAGGTTTTCAGAGCACATCTGGAGCTACAGCAGAAGCATTACTTAATTACTACACTGTGATGTGGATGATTTCAGTGGCATAAGGAGGATCGGATACTCAAAGCAGTAGCATGGCCTTGCCATCCTTGTCATCAGGCAGTAAAATAAGGTATGATGTTCTGAGAGATATTAGTCTGCCAATTTCCATGGCAAACCACCACTGTTAGCGACTGTTTTAGCCTGTTACATAAGATCACACTGATTTTTCTTCAGAAGGTGTTGAAGATAACAGCTCTTTTGGAAAGAAGATAAAACAAAACACCCACAAAGAGGGAGGAACAAAACAGCACTGTTAGAAAGAAGCAGCAGCTCTTGTCTCTCAGACCATCCCTGACTTGCAGACCATAAGCTTCTTTTGGTCCATCTGCACTTTTCATACTGATATCAAATCATGTAGTCCCCAGGGCAATGGCTGAATAAGTACATGAATAAATCTCTCCTTTCTGCTGACTAATTTCTGACTTACCATTTTTAATCTCCAGGCTCTGCTCTCTTTGAAGGGTTTTGTTCTCTCTAGCTATTTATGTAACATGCACAATGATTCTTACCTCCTGCTAGAGAGAGTGGCTTTTGGGAGTCTTGAGAAACCTTGTGCTTCCCCTTCCTGGAGCTACTCAATGTCAAAAATAATGGAAAAGGGAAAAAAAAAAAAGAAAAGAAAAGATTGCCTTTGGTTCTCAGAGAGGGCCTGTGAGGTGAAACAAGGTAATATACCATTATAGATTATATCCCTAGGGTATTCCTGTGAGCAGCATTCTGGATGAACTGTGTTTCAAGGACTCCTTAATCTAAGACATGCCTGTAATTTTTAAAGTAAAAACCAAACCCCTGTGCTCCTTCTTGACCCCCTGTGCAAGGACCCTTCACCCAGCAGGAAGGGGTGTTACGCTGCTTCTTGTTTAACTCACATGCATTCTAACTCTCTAACTCAACAAAGTTGCCTTCTGAGCTGCTTTAAAGCCCACACAAAATTCCCTGGTGCTGCAAATATGAAGCCCGCAATACTTGTGTACAGTTATTGCCAGCAGCACGCCCATGACTCTGGGTTTTCACCACACAGCATCATTAGCACTTAGACTGCAAACTGCTTGGGCTAAAGACCCTGTCAGGGACTAGTTTTGTCAAGTACTGTGTGCAGCTATGGTATTTGAATGAATCATAATGCAGTATTAGACTGCCATGTGGCATCACTAGACTGCCATGTCAGGCAAAACATTATATATAGCAAAATGAATTCAATGGAAGTGAAAAAAGGCCTTGGCATATTTAAGGAAAAGAATGGTTTGACTCCTGCTGTAAAAGGAAAATGGGGGTGAGGAGGAAGAGAGAAAAAAAGAAAGACTGATTGCCCAAGTGTGTGCATATTATAAAGCTGTCATTTACAGGAATGAAAGAAAAATAAACTCCCTTTCTACTACTGACATAATCTAATAACCTGCATTGCTTTATGTAGAATCTGCACAGAGCTAATGACTTCAGATCTTGCTGACCCTGTATGGCTCAGTTCCCAGAGTCCTACTGAGCATATGGGGAAAATAGCCAGGTTTTGTACAAACACAAACGTTTGCTTGAGCTGAGCCCAGGACCAATACAGTCTAACCATCACCTTGGGATAGAAAGTTTTGTTGCCAAGTAAAAATATAATCTGGAAGCTAAGAGTCAGTAAGAAATAGAGTTGTTTCCTCAGACAGGCCTTCTCTGCTATGAAAATCAAATCCATGGTAAGAGGAGCAGATTGTAAAAAAATTGTACTATGATGATGTCTAAATACCTCCTAAAAAAGGATTTATGATTTTAGTCTAGTCCTGAAGGGAGCTTGCAGAACTACAGGACCCCTGGCACTGATGTGGGGATTGCAGATAGCACAAATTAGGCTCTAAATAATGGATCAAAAAGAGAAGCCTCCAAAGCTACATTTTATTGCTCTTTGGGGAATAGCGCAGACTATTATAAAATACTGCAGCTTATGAAGCTCCAATAGCATTGTGCAGTTTAAAGGAAAAAAAAAAAAAGCCTCAAGGAAAACGGGGAAAGCTCAGTGGCAGTGAGCCAGGTAGAGCTACACTTTCTTATTGTAGGAGACAGTGGTACATGGGGCAGGGATGGTGGGATGTCCTGGAGATGGCCACATCCCGACCTTACGCAGTGTTCAGCATCCTGCCTTTCAATCTTGTACAACTTAATGTAAACTTGTAATGCCTGGGTGCTTCAGCTTTCAATCCTACATTCTTAAAATAAAGCAAAGGTTAAGCAAGAGCAATTATGGGATGATGATATTCAGGTATATTCAGTTGGTTGCTGCTACCAATTTCTGTCTGAGCATGAGCATACCAGAAACCATCTCTGTTTCTTCTGTCAAAAGGGGCAGACATCATCAGCATAAAACAGCCTTTGTTAATTCAAGTTGTATTATGATATAAGACATACTTGTCCTCAATTAAAGCTATACAGCATGCTTACTTATGGCTCTGGGGTCTTTTCCCAATTGATTTTGAATTGAAAAAAAGCAAACAAAACCCCAAAGTCAATTATGATCAATAGAAATTAAGTAAAAATTAAATGTAAATAAATACTAGATCAAATATAAATTAAAACATGTCAGAGAAAAGTAGTTTATTTTCACCTGAAACTTAAACAGGCCAGTAGCAGCAAATGCTTGGCTACCTCTAAGCAAATCTAAAGCTTGCTTGCCAGACTCAATCTCTGGTGATGAGCTCTTTGCAGCTACATGCAAGACTCAGTAAGAAAACAGATGGCACACTGGAGCTTTACTTCATGAAGAATAATAGATGAGTAGATAGAGACTCTCAATCTCAGAGTGGCACACAGGGTGATCAGAATCCTAATCACAATCACCCTGTGATAAAAGACTCTGGATGAAGAATGAATTAAGGTGGTTTAGTCTGTTTTATCAATAAAAGTAATAGTAAGACATATTTCTTACAATTCTTTAAGCAGAAGACTCACAGGAGCGATACATATTGCTTACAAAGCATCATGAAGTGGGATAAATCACTCTGTCCATTTAAGGGTTGTGTGTTTGCTGCCTCTGTATTATCAGCAAGATTATTCCCTGAATTTTGGCAAATGCATAAGAATATATAAAAAATATACAGACCAAACTTCTCCTTCTGGCATCTTTTGTCCCTGCACTGTGAAGCCTGGCACAGGTTAGAAAACAAATCATCTGCTCTGTGTTGCCCTGTTTTGTTATTATGATGCATTATAGACTAATGCAGGATTCTGTCATCTAGAAATATTTGAGCAAGATTTCCATATTTGAAAAACAATTTCCTGTCAAGAAGGTAATAACAAGTGAAATAACATCAATATAACTGGAATATTAGGACAGCCTAAAAGTAATGATATTGCAGCCTAAGGTATTAGAAGGAAATAGCTTAAATTATTCAGCAAGTAAACTGATGTCATGTGGTCAATGCACTACATATTTCACATATCCCAATTAGAATTAATGTAATAATAAAGATTGATTATTAAGTAATAAACACTGGCCAAACAAATTACTTTAAACATAAGTCAAATCTGCTAGGACAGCATACCTCTTTCTCTCTCTGGGTTGCAGAGCAGACCTTGACACAAGCCGGAGCAGAACAAACAATTCTTCACAAGTATTTTCAGACTCCTTTGCCCATCTTGCAAATATAGATCAGGCTCTCTTTGAAGCTACTGAAAACTCTGTGCGCACTGTTTGGTCAGTGTGTTACTGTCCACAGTGTGACGGTAATAATAAAACAAATAACAATATTTGGGCTTACCTGTGTAAGACTGCACCAGCTACCTATGCTGGTTATAATGAAACGGAGTAAACTATATGGGGAAACTGCGCATTTTTGTTTGTATTGCAGTATCAATTAATTTGGTAAAAGCAGACTCATTTATGGACTTCTAGGCCTTTTGCTGAACGTAAGCAATGATTTGTGCTACAGAGATTTTTAATACTGAATTGTACCCCTTCATAAATAGTGATTCAACCAGTGTGACAAACTGCAAAGCCTTGCAGCTTTCATGAAATGCCGTTCCCGTCTTACTGTCTTTCAGATGGTGTCAAGTGGTACAAAGTTGTGCCAAGATACAGTTAGCAGCAAAGAATCTTTCCTATCACCTTCCTTTTAATTCATTGCAAATAGTGCATTTTCATCCACAGATACAAGCTCATCTTGTCTACAAGATAGAAAAATGAAGCTGAATTTTGGATCATGCGCTAATACAAGACCTCTCATCCCACAGCTAATACAAGACCCTTCATCCCACAGCCTTCAGACTGTGGGGTGGGATTCACTCTTGTTTCATATACAAGCGCTTACAGAAAACCTGCAAACTAACTGGGTAAGCCCCTTCAAGTCCTTCATATTTGTTTTCACCTTTTCTGAGTTATACTCATTAAAGTAAACTTCTAACATGGCACTGCTGCTGATCTTCTCGCAGACATTGCTCTTTCATTGTTTTAAGTTATGCAAGCCTTCAGGCTGCATGAATTTGCAAGTCCATTGTTCTAAGGCGGTTTGTCACAAGAAACAACGAAGGAAATGGGAACAGAAGAACTTCCAGCTCATGCTGTACAGCGCTGCTGTGAAAAGGCAGGTCCATCTTGCTTGTGTGCATCAAAAGACAGTGAAAAACAGCTTATATGGACAAAACTTTTTCTTTTTTTTATGATATTTGGCATTAGAACACAAATAATTTGAAGTATTCAAGACCTATTACAAAATTAACAATGGAATACCTAATTGATTAGGGGCAAATATACCCATGCAAGACTTAAAGCAGCATAGAGAACAGTATGTTAGAGATGAAAAAATTGAAGTCTTTGTTTCAGATTTACCTTATCACAAGTGTCTGTCCCCACTGTACATGGCTCTGGTCAGCATGTGTAAGCAATAACTGACGATATGAGAATTTAGTTGGCCTTTTCAAATAAAGCTTACCTTCAAAGTTACAATAAACCAGTACTCTCAGAA